GTTAGTGGAGGTTTCAGTCCATAATCAGCTAGCTCCAAGGCAGAGCTGCACAAGGCAGAGGGCAGCAAGCAATTCATGGTGGCGGGAAAACAGTAAAGAGCAAAGGGAGGAGCCTTGGTTGCATCTGCCAGAAGGCCTCTTTCCCTTCCCACATTTATATGCAGATTATCTGCCCCAGGGCAGGTGCAGCACTCACACCTATAATCCCAGCATTGGATCATGAATTAATCACAAACTCTAGAAGCAGCTCCAATGACTGCATGAGGCTTTGGGGAGAAAACTAGACACAAACCGTAACAGGAAATTCCAGAAATAAACCCACAATATGCATTCAACCAAGCTTTAAAAAAATCAAGAATATCTGACAGAGACAGGATAACATCTAAAATAAATGACTGAAGGAAAAATTTGTTTTCCCTTCCAGAGGAATGAACTTGAACATTAGCTCACACCACACACACAAAGCAACTCACGACAGGTGAAAACTTCGATGTGAAATCTAAAACCTGAAAGAACCCAAGAGTAATGTATTGGTCTTGCCAATAATTTTTCTGGACTGTGACTTTAAAAGTAAGGAAAGCAAAAGTAGCCAAATGGGACTACCTCAAAGCAAAGCCCCTGCAGGGCAAAGGAAACCATTGACAGGATCAAAAGGTGACCATGACATGGAAAAAATATTCACAAAACACAGATCTGGTAAGAGGTTAACAGTCAAAATATATAAGAAGCTGATACAATTCAATAGCAAAGCACAATTCCAAATAGACATTTTATCCAAGAAGAAAACAACCAGTCAGCATACGGAAAGGTGCTCAGTATTGCTACCAGGGCTGCAAAGAGGTAACACATCATTCCTGTGAGGACAGCCATTATCCTAAAGCCAAATGCCAAGAACTGGCCAGGACATAGGAAAATGTAGAGCCCTGCATACTACTGATGGGAGTATAAACTAGTGCACTTATTTTGGAAGACAACTGGATGTTCTTCAGAAAACTACTACATGTTCCAGCAATCTCGTGTCTGGGAACATGTACACAGGAAGTGAAGTCAGAACCTCTGGGAGATACACTCATCTCTCATTAATTTTTTTTTTTTTTTTTTGCAGAACCAGGGATTGAACTCAGGCCCTTGTGCTTGCCAGAGAAGCGCTTAATCCACTGAGCCATCTCCCCGGCCCTCTCATTAATTTTTT